TCGGGCGATTTTTGTCGTGGATCAAACGAACTAGAATATTGTAATATACCCGAACTACATTGTAAAGCTTGTACGACTGGCTTGTTCCAGTTCGATAACAGTGGCGTAAATTGTTGATATATAATACTGTAACGATCTAACATCACATCACATATAGCCGCTGCTATATCTTCTTTACGTTCACCGTCGTACCATATAATGTATTCTGGACACGTTACCAATAGAAATACTTCAATTGCCGTTAATTGAGACGATTCAATTTGAAGTTGTTTGAATATATCAAGGTAGGTTGTCGAACATAAACATTTTACAATTGATTCTAGGATACACAGCAACATTGACTCATCTTGTAATTCTTTTCTTATCACTTGCAATTTTCTTAGTCCGTTGATGATGGTATTCAGAGCTGGTACATTGAAATGTTTCCCATTTGTGCCTATTGAATCTATACATTGTTTAACTGATTCAACTAGTATCTTATTCAGCAAAAGTATTTTAAATATTTCAACATTTGAATCATTAACATTATCAACCATATGCCAAAAGAGTGCGCTAATTTGTGTTGCAACATCTGCTTCATTATTATTTAAATTCGCATCATCATTATTCCATTTCTTTAATAGGTCAATGAGAATATCACGAAACAGAGGAAACAATTCATGGTGGAATAGTGACACGTCAGTTAAGATGGCATTTTGAGCACTCACGAGAGCTTGGCTTATTTCGTAGGTATCATCAGTGTTTGATTCATTCACATGAGTGCCAGCAACATCGCTTTGCTGTTTAATACGATTAAAGTGATCAGTTAATTGGGACTGCATTTTGGCTACTATGTTACTTCTACACAAAATGAGAGTTTCTTATGCACGAGTGAAAATTGAAGGTATGAATTTTCTTTTCTGTTTCTTTTTACGTTGTTGAAAGAAAAAACGTCGTTTTCTTGTCATTAAAAAAATATGAGGTATGTCTTTCCTATTGTGAAAGTTGTTAGCAACAACTCACATAGACAATGTGTGACTGCATGAACAGAACAGAGTAAAATATAAAAAACGGACGTTATGGATAAAAAAGTCTTTTATTCTGAAGAAAAAGGTTAAGAAACCGCGCTATGTTATTTTCTTTTCAACGAACGTTCAAACGGGTACTCATTTTTTGTCTGTATGATCCTAGACTTTACTGAATGATTTAGAGTTGTATGCTTCAGAAGAAATAATTAGATATTTAAATTGAAATGATGCTTGAACTCTCATCTAGTGAAATTGATGTCACAAATGTCGGATAAATCAAAAAGAGATTTCCAGGGGCTGGAAACCATGCCTGTTTTCATTTTACACTGTTGGATATCAATAAACATCAGAATCCCAAGTTTCATGAAAGCCCTTTGCTCTGACAGATGAGTAAAAAGAATGTACAAAGTCAATAAAACGCTGAAGAAATAAGAAGGGTTAACTCTGATATTTTATCTACAAGTATCGTTCATCTTCGATTCACTGACCCTTGACTGAAAATGGATTTTTAGCGATGATTTGGTGTTAGTATGCGCTTAGCTTCTTAAAGGGATGGAGAAACAGGAAATTTTTGTTTATTTATGTGTATGATTGCATTAGATCCAATGACATATGACGTGTTGAAGGACATTAGGAGGCGTTTACTCATTTTATTTAAACAGAACACAGAAAAGTAGAAGAAAAACAGTAACTGAACTGAAAAACATCTAAAGTGAACTCTATAATAAGAATGTTTACTATTTACACTCTAGATTCAAAAACCCCTCACGTGGAACAGGCACTATATACAGAAAGAGAGAATTTTATGGGTTTCAAAATAAACTATAAATATGTATTTGAAAACTATGCTCATATAGCACAATTGTCGGCCGACATCGTCATTTTTGCCTTAGTGCTTTAAATACTCCTTTAGTCATTTTTCTGGCATAATGAAAAATTATATATTTTTCAAAAACATACCATTGCATAGCCCCTGAAATTCTCTACAAAGTGAGCTGGTCA